TTTTGCAGTCTGATGGTAGATCTGCAGGTGGAAGGTGGAGTATTTTTGCAGTCTGATGGTAGATCTGCAGGTTGAAGGTAGAGCTTTTTTGCAGGTGTTGGTAGATCTGCAGGTGGAGGATTTTTGCAGTCAGGTGGTAGATCTGCAGGTGGAAGGTGGAGGATTTCGCTGATTTTTTTGCTGATGGAGTATTTTTGCAGTCTGATGGTAGAGACCTTCAGGTGGAGATTTAAAGTTGAGCAGTTTTCACAGTCACATCAGTTCACAGTTCCAGAGAAAGAAAGTATTTCTTTCTATCAGATGGTAGATCTGCTGGTGGAGCTAAAAGATGAAGCCTTCTTGAAGTCTGATGGTAGATCTGCACTTCTGCTGTTTGAAGGTGGAATATTTTTTGCCGTTGGACAAAAACTCTGCTGGTAGATGTTGAAGTTGGAGGTAATTTGTAGTGCGATGGTACATCTCAGCAGAGAATTGAAAGTTGAAGAGAGGAAGTTGAGTATATTTACAAGTTTACATTTTTGGTTGATTCTTTTTTTTTTCTTTTTTCTTTTTTCTTTGTTTTTTAGTTTTTTTTTCTTATTTTTTAGTTTTTTTTTCTTATTTTTTTTAAGTTTTTTTTTGTTTATATATCTGCACATGCAGATGGACAGTTTTTCTAAATGATGATTAGAGTTACTCCTTGGGAACCTGGTAGTGTCTTGGTTTTGGTTCTTCTGCTACATCAACATCATAAAGAGGAGGAGATGTTCCAGAACCATAACTGACCTCCACGTTGACTTGGCCGACTGTTTCCACAATAGCGGGACGATTCAATCTTTCCCAGAGCTTTTGTTTAATCGCCCGACCCAGCGCCAAACTGTAAGGACGTTGACGGCCAGTCTTAAAACTGTGATGCAGAACACAACATGTAAGAAAGGAATCTTCATGCAATTTCGCAAGAGGCTTAAAATATATGAAAAATGTGTGTATAAAAAAAGTGAAACTTACTATAACATGTTATCAACCACTTCATGGTAGATTTTCTGGTACTCCTCTACTGTATGGTTGTGAATCATAAGAGGGCTATCATCCTGTGGAGGAGTTTCGGAGGAACGGAAGCTGACCGGCATAGGGCGGACTGCTGGGAGATCCTCAGGATCAATAGTAGCGGAAGGCCTTGGGACTAAATCCAAAGCCTCAAGAGGAGGTTCTGGAGGAAGACTGACCACGTCCTGATCGTGCACTTTGTTCTTTGGGGGCTTTGAACCACTTGAAGAGCGTTTACGTTTACGCTGGACATCAGTCACCTGGTTAAAGACAACAGCACACAAGAGGAGTTCAGAATGGAAAATCCTAAACAACACATTGCTGAAGGACAAAAGTTCCAGTTACACACCTGGAGATCCTCAGGATCAATAGCAGCTGCAGGCATTGTTACTAAATTCAAGGGCTCAACAGGAGGTTGTGGAAGAGGACTGACCACGGACTGATCGTGCACTCTGTTCTTTGGTTGCTTTGAACCACTTGAAGAACGTTTGCGTTTACGTTGGACATTGTTCACCTAAATAAAGAAAACAGCACACAAGAGGAGCTCAGAACACAAAATCGTAAAAAACATCAACGCCAAAAGACAAAAGTTCCAGTTACATACCAGGAGATCCTCAGGATTGATGGTAACTGAAGGCCTTGTAACTAAATTCAAGGGCTCAACAGGAGATGGTGGAGGAGAACTGACCATGGACTGTTCGTGCACTCTGTTCTTTGGAGACTTTGAACCACTTGAAGAGCGTTTGCGTTTACGTTTGACATCAGTCACCTGCTTAAGGCAACAGCACACAAGAGGAGTTCAGAAGAGAACATCCTAAGCAACATCAACACTAAAGGACAAAAGTTCCAGGTACATACCAGAAGATCCTCAGGATCAATAGTAGCTCTTGGCCTGGTAACTAGATTCAAGGGCTCAACAGGAGGTTGTGGAGGAGGACTGACCACGAA